ATCCAGTGATGGGCAACTCAGTGCTCTTCAAACTCACCAGCGGTCAACAACGTGCAGCATGCGGGCATATGGCAGTGCTGGGTGAAATGTGTGAATGAGAGGACGTATCTATCATTTTCTTTATGCACAAATATGTCGTGAATCTGGACTCGTGACTCGTGATGTGTCCTGCTTCGCAACCCCTCCACAGGAGTCTGACATCTAAATTAAATGGGAAATTCAAATGTCCACCAAAGAAGGTTGGAACCACTCACAGCAAGATATTAAACGGTACAACACGAATGAAACAGCACAAATGAATAACCATAAGTAGGGCATCAAACGAAGGAGGTAAGAATGAGACACGAATCGTTTTCTGGGGTATATAAGTCGAAATGACTCCTCCGTACGAACGGAAAATAAATCGACAGACAAAGCGTGCAACGTTCTGGACGTTTTGCGTAATAGCCACTTGATTTGAATGACTTGGTGAAAGGAGGAGGCCTTTGCTAACAAGAAGCAGCCCGTGGTGTAGTTGAAGAACTGCTTGTTAACCGTTCAACACGGGGATAACATGAATTTCCTCGCGTCAAGACGGTTGACAATACGTTATTACTTCCTGACGATGTCGTCGCGGGAGAGAGAGACGCTGTAACTGTGCACAGTCGGTTACCTAACAGCTTCTTTCCGTTTCTTTCTTTTCATTTTCCATACAATTACTTTTAATAACCAGTGTCACCGGCTTTACAATTGTTACAAAAGTTTCCCTGGTCGTACAAATTCGTCAATCAAACTTACCCCCATCGTTTTCATCCTCGGAGTACGAACGTTTTTAATATTCGTAGAGACAGTGGTGTCTGGGTCCGTTTAAAACCTTACGTTTCCTTCTTTTTAAATATACTTCGAACACGATTATTAAAAAACACCTGCTTTTTTTATATAACTAAATATGAACAAATCCCAGCTTAAATTGTATGTACAAATCGCATGAATTAGATACGATTTTTAAACACTCGGGTCCAAACGGACCCGGGAACCATACATCAAGGGGTTAAAGGGGTTAATTCCGATACATGACAATTCCCATTGAAGCCAAGCCGTAAAGGGTTTTGCCACACGCGTCCTCGCGAGCCACCGTTAAGCCAGATACTTATCCCGGGTAGGATTCGATCGGATTAGCATAGATTTCCGCGTTCTCCCGCTAGTAGGATGCGCGCGTTGAATCCAGAATTACCCGACGATAAATTTTCCCATTGCGAAGAAAAAGTTGCGGGGGGCAACCGATACGTACTTCACAGAATTCCTTGGACCTATGGAGCGAGTCTCGATGATTAATCTCTGTTGAGGCTGCCTGAAAAAAATGTCGCTCGTAATGGTGGATTAATACCTTCGGTGAAAAAAGAATAATGTTCTCGATCGTCGTCGACTTGCTTACAAAAGAATTAATATTCCATATTTTATATTTACACCACACGCCATAATTATCGGTGTTATTATGCGATAAACGGTCAGGGAAAAAGTACACAAGCGCAAGAGATTTTCTCTCGATCCCTTATTTGGTCCTGATTATTCGGTAATCGTCAAGAATCGAAAAGGGGATATTTATGTTTCATTGAAGAATCGAAAAAAAGGAAATTCGTGTTTCATTTGAGAATCGAAAAAAGGAAAGTTGTGTTTCATTCAAAAATCGAAAAGAGGAAATTCGTGTTTCATCCCCAATGGATGCTAAGAGTCCTCTCTCCGCGTCGGTCGATGTCGACGCGCTTTTAAGTTCACCTGACCGGCAATTTACGAGCTGACATTTTTTTGCACGGTCTATCCGCTCGAAGATCGGCCCCATAATGAGGCTTAACGATCGCCTCGAGAGGCACCGTTGACGCTCTCACCCTCGTACTCCTCGCGAGACTCGACGAAAAATGAATATACGTGATTCACGGCGCGCATGCACGCCACCTTTTCGAGAGGGCGAAAAACCGGCGGCGCAGGGAATCGATATTCGCGGAGGCAACGTACCCCTATGTGCTGGTGGGACCGTCTGCATCTTCCTGTTGTTCCTCGTTCTGTCCATTCTCCTTGGTATTTCGTCAACTATTGGGACGATCCTTAAGAATTTTAAAGAAGTTTTGTTCGAATTCCTGAAGTCTAGTCTACTATAGAGGCACTTTTGCTAATAGGGGTTGAGAAACTCATGTTTTAACTCATATATAAATTTATTTACCGGAAGTCGCTTTTATTAGATGAAAAATCCTCTAAACAATATAGAGCATAGGGTATGAAGTTGCAGGTTCAGAAACTACACACACGTTGAATTAATGAAACCGTACATTAGTATTTTATAAAAACGCCAGCATACTTTGAAAATATTCGTTCCACAACACAGGTATAAAGACAGATGAGCAGGTGTGTATCTGTACCCAGATATCGTCTTTTATTCGATCATCGAAAACGTCCGCTTTCCAACGGTCAATAACGAGGAAATAAAATAAGCTCTTCAGAGGCTATATTTTCGTCTTATTCCACGTTAATGTATTTCACAGCTCAAGAATAACCACTGAGTTGGCGTGGATTACGTTCAGTTAACAAGGGAATCGACGCTGACGGCAGTTAATGCTGTAAGGGGTGCAACAATGTGAAGTCTGTAGATCCGATAAGTCTTTCCTTCGAGTAATTTGACTGAGATCGCACGATTCCCTTCAAATAAATATGTATGAGAACGGCGAAAAACGGCTCGATAACTCGCTTCAATCTTTCGCCCGATTAAGAATGCACGCAAATTGTTTCTAGCTTAACCCTCCCCGCCCCTCGAGTCCCCTATAAGTCAGTATTAAAGATGAAATTGGCCAGATAGGCTTGTACAACGTGCCCGAATAGGCATTGTTACAACAGCCGTATTACCGTAATAGCGGCGATCATAGGATCCTGGCCGGGCGGTTGGTTCGCAATTGATTTATCCCAGCGCCGGAGAAAAACGATCGTGTCCACGGAACGATCGACGGAGGGAGTGTGTGTACACCGAGCCGAGACAGTGCACGGTGGTGGTGGGCGCGCACGGTGGGCGAAGACAGCGCGGAACGGATCCCGTGGAACATAGTAATAGCGAAAAGAAGAAAAGGTAGATAGTAGTAGCGAACCGATCGAATTGGCGAAGACGACTGGTCCCGCGGGGGCCTGCAAAGACTAGGCGAGTTCGAACGGAGAAAAACAGAAGAAGCTCGGCTGTACGCGGCGAGGGATGAGGGAGAGGGGGATGTTAGTAGAAGCTAAACGTGGCAGGAGCTAAGAGCCGGATCACCTAAGAGCAGATAGAGGAATCAGAAAGAACAGGCGGAACGTGCTGGGGACAGAGGTGGTGCGAGCGTAAGGGGGGAGGAGAGGAGCAAAGAGGGACAATCTGGAAACCCAACGCGATAACCTCCGTGTGGGGAGAAGAGGGGAAGGGAAGAGGGGTGGGGATAAATCGAGTGCGAGCAGGAAGAAGAAGACGGACATCGTCCGACTAAAAAGGACAAGTGAGCACAGGGGCCAGCGTACTGGATCACCGTCGAGCAGATAGAGGAGCCAGAAGTAAAACGGAGAACGTTTTCTGTACGCCAGGTGGAACGGAGAGGCAGGCCGTACGTGGTAAGAGAGGGGCAGAGATAAACACACGACGAGACCGGGAGGCCTGGCGCGGTGAAAGTGGAGGGGTCTTCAAGAGCGGTGGAAGCGACGGCGGAAGAGAGACCACCTCGAAGGGCGTTCAGGCGGGACGAGGACGGGGGCTACGGTATTCGTGGAGGGAAAATCGGGTTCTGGGTTGCCTATCAGCCGTTGCCGTCCACGGAGCGGGGGCAGTCTGGGCGTTGCGGGTTCCCAGGTTCTCGCGACAGCCGTCAGATGTCGAGTGGTCGCGCCCCCGGACAGGGTCTTCACCCCCTGGCAAAAGGTCAGCCAAGGGGCGTGCCGGTTGGCTAATCAACGCCCAGTAACGCCCATCGTCGGCCCTCCCGCCGCTTCCTCGCCGCAGACGCTTCGCGGCAACCAACTGGACAACCAGCCCCGGCCTGGATCCACAGCGTCGCACAACGGTTCCGTTGAAACTCGCGTCTACCACCAGCGCCGTGCCCGGACCCTTCCACGTTCGAGCCGATCGTCACCTGGACCCCGTCGTGTCTCGTACGAGGTCTATCACGCCTCGTCTGACCCATTGGCCCCGGTGTCTTCGCCTCGGTTCCCTGGCCGCCGGCCGAGTTCAGTGCGCGTATACAGTTGACCACGGGCAACTACGGTGGATCTTTAGGTCCTCGTCTTTTGCTTCCTCTATCCCCCCCCCCCTGCCGCGCAGGATTCTCGAACGAAGAAGAAAGTGAGAAAGTGCGATGGATTATGGACGTATCGAGATTTCGAAACGGCACGACCGGTTCGTGATCGCTGTGAACAACCGCGAAACAGACACTGTACGTTGTCAGTTGGACTGTCAGTTGGACGAATGAGTTAACGACCGAATGATATCGATTACATGGTGCTGTTGAGCCCGACAAGATTGTTTTCCGAGCGGTGAGGATGAAGAACGATTTTGGAAAACGTTCCTAGTGGACAGACATGAACGGGGCTGAACAGTGTCCGTCGGCAAACAGCTGGAGAAAGAGTAGTTAGTGCACGAGGATTGGACGAACGTGTTACGGGAATTTCGGACTAAAAAGTGTGCATCGAATAAACTACTTCACGATACTGTAGGAATAAGATGCCAGGGATAGATGGTTAACAGACATCATTGACCGATGATCGGACGGGTATTTTGCTCGAGGATGTTGCTCCCTCCAGACAACTTTACGCGGACGGAATCCGTTAGGTAGGTACATAGAACAACGCTGAAATTGACACACAGATAGACAATATCGTCAAGAAGAATAGAGACGATAGACAATTCCGTATTGTCATCATGAAGAAATCGAAAACGAACGAGGTATAATCGTTCTACTTCGACCGACTCTGCACCGTAAATTTTCCTAACGAGGGGACTGTAAACCAAAAAATAAACGATGTCGAACACACCTCCGGCATCGTCCATCGGGTTGGAATCGTCCGATCTTCACGAGATCAGGCAGAATCATCTGACCACCCGATTGGAGTCCGACGACTCCGTGAAACGGGAGCAGATACGAGGAAGTGACGGCAACAATCCTGACAGCGATTGCGAAAGTGACACCAGCGAGGTGTTGAGCGTCGGTAGCGAACCGACGCCCACGAGCGTCGTTGGTATACGTGGCTGCGGTTCGGTCAGGTACGACCAGGAATCGGCTAGCAGCCGCGGCGGTGATTTTCGCGACGAGGAGAACACAAGGACATCGGCGACACCGTCGCCTTCTAGCTCGACTAGCTGCAACGATGGGTTCTATCAACGTTCGTCTAATCACATCCAGGCGCCTAGTCCGCCGGGCTACAGTCAGCCTCCTTCGTCGCCTACAGCCTCCTCGGTGAGGTCACCGGCTTCGTCCTCGGCCACAGCCTCGTCCCCAGGTCGGCCAGAAGCTATCCAGGACGTGATAGTTCCCAGGTACCAGTCCAGCCATCCGCAACACTTGCTACCACGGTATTCCTCGAGGGAATCCGAGATTCCTGATTACCCAACCCGCGTCCAACACAGCCTAACTCACGAGATCATCTATCCAACCGTGGAAAGGTTGCACAGAACTCCGATCAGCGTTCCCTTAGTGACAAGACTGTCCTTATCACCGCCGTCGGCCATGACAGTGACCGGTCTTCAGGCAACGACCCCTGTCCTCCATCCAACCGCCTGCAGAGACCCCAGAGAAACGGCCCCGTTGATGCCCCATCCTGGTCAACACTTGCATCATCCGAACAGTCACGTTCACCTTCACCAAACCTCCCAGGTGCAACACATCCCGGCGAACTCGGTCCACCAGCATCGACTCTCCGTGAACAAGATCCTCCAAAGAGAACCTGGCAGTCCCGTCTCCCCTAGCGCGAGAGAGGAAAACGGACGGACGATGCCCGGTGCGAACGGTGTACAGAACAACGGCATTAACAACACCAATCATCATAACAATCACAACAATAACAACAACAATCTGCAGCATCAAGCTAGCCTGAAGTTCAGTATAGACAATATCCTGAAAGCTGACTTCGGCAGAAGGATCACCGATCCGATCTCGCTGAAAAAGTCCCGACCGAAGAAGGTCTCCTCGCGACCCATCGATCTGACCAAGGACTTTCTGGAGTCGTCCTCCGAGACCTCGGAGAAGAGCAGCTCCGAGACGAGCTCGACGACGAACACGTCACCCGGCGGTGTGACCGCGAATTCCGCTTCGAACGCGCCGGGACCACCTGCGAGCGAACCTGGTAAACAGCTGCCCTGGCCTGCCTGGGTCTACTGTACCAGATACTCGGACCGACCCTCTTCCGGTGAGTCTGACCATGTCATTTCCACGCGAATTATAACATAATATCTTTCTGTTCCCGTGAATATCACGTATACAGGATTCCGAAAGAATCGAAAGTATATCGGTATACCCTAAGTTTGCCTATGTCGATATAATCCCACGGTGTTCGTTTACGTAATACTGTAACCGTTTAAATAGAAAAAACAGATAGAATTACGTCTGGATCGAGCAGGCAAGTTCAGAAGTAAATTTCCACCGAACCGCGAAATAATTGTTGCCCAGCCGTAAAAGGTCAGTCGATGTACATAGTCCCGCTGCGTTTCCCTGCAGCGCGATTCCCGTTGAAATTTATTCCCGTGAAAGTTTTTATGGTGGAGAGGAAAACGTAAACGATCGGTTCGGGTGTATACCCACTAGCTCATTGTCAGCTAGGGGGCAATTGCTTAATAACGGAGTTTCTCATTAGCGGCCGGCATAATGGGCCCGAAGTGGTGGTATAAATTTCATCGGAGGAATTGTATTTCGCGCCCTGTGGGATAGAGACTGTTATTTACCGTGGTGGTTACGTAACCGAAAACCGTTTCGTTGTTTAGTAACGGCTCCGTCACGATCCCGACAATTTTATTTGGATTATCGACTACTTTGGTGTATTTTTCTCGCGGGCAACGGCCGGCTAATTATCCCCGCGCCGGAGAGCTATGCTCTCGTGACGATATCGCGGCCCCATAAATAAAACTCGCGGCCATTCGCTTCGATCTGATCCACGCGCAACGATGGAAGGCTCCGATTTTAATTGCGATATTAATAATTCATCCGTGGAACAGAACCTCGAGGAACAAAATTCCGTGATCCTCAAGTCTGTTCTTCTTTTTCGTTCCTCTCGTTACGTGATCCAGCTGATTAAGACGTATATACGTGATTAACACGAAATTTAACTGCTTTACACGATGCCGTATAAAAATCGTGTTAAGAATCGACGAACCACCTGAACGATTTCCATTTCTGAATATTCAACGGGCGCCACGCAGCATTTGGATGAAATTGGGCAGGATTTGTCGCATTTCGACTTTCCTGAAACTTGAATCGAGGATTTATCTCGTCGCTACGGCGCAGTCTCATTGGAATTGTTTCCTAGTTTCGCGTTGGATGGATGCTCCTCTCTCGAGCGACACGGGAAAACGTGTAATTACTCCGCTCGACGGCGGGCCGAGTGCCAGGTTGATGAATGGTAGAAAACGTTTCGTCGTGTCACTCATAATCTGATATACGCTCATTGTCAGGAAACAATTGTTAAGGCGCCTTGTAGAGAACAAGCCCCCCTCCCTTCGGCACATAAATCAGCACGTGGATAATATGCAACTAACTTATTTCTCTCTGGCTTTGTATTGCGAGGAACAACAATTTCCTATAGGTCATTCAGTTGTCGTATTCTTGCGCGAACCATCGGTAAATAATCGCCGCCCTATTAGATCGCCGGTTTCTGTTTCGCTGAACAGACCTCCCTCTCTTCTCCTGTGTCCCCCTAGGTGCCTTTTAACACCCCGTGGATGCGTGTGTTCGACGCAAAATTATTGCCCGATGCCCGTGAAAAATCGGAATAACGTACACCTAACTGGTTCGCCTCTCGCGGACCCTATTGTATTTTAATCGCTTCTCGGCGACCTGGGAAACGGATAATGCCATGAATTTCACAGGGGGCAGGGGGATTTGTTCGCCAGTGGGTAGGCTTTCCAGCGATTTCCATTCTGAGATTTTTCACACCTTCTCAGCTGAAATTTACGGGATGAAAGCTCGAGTCGTTTAACTTTCGGACGGCGGTGTTTGGGACCAGGATTTTTCGTAATTCCATGGTGCCATTTCAGTGCACAGAAAGTAATTGAAGTGTACGGTTGTTTGTATTACATTTTATTAAGAAGACCAGAATTATTTAAGGAATATTTGTTTCAGAATAAGTCTAAAGTTAGCTGAGTAGGAATTCTTCTGGACCCAAATACTGTCGTCTATTCGGTCATTAAATATGACCGCCTTTAGTGGGTTAATTGGTACACCTCATGCATGAACACAGAGACGACTGAATACTACTCGAAATTAGGTATTACCATTGGGTTCGATAAATCGAAGATAGGAAATCGGTCGAGCCATTACCGTCCACGCGTGTGAGTGCAGGTGAGCATAGGGGTCAAGTGAAGCGAGAGAACTCGAAAGACGCCTTTGACGACTTCCGTGTGTAATATGATACTAATGATTACCGTGAAACCCCTGACCATACTGTGATTAGAGTGTTGATTCGAAATTGAGGAACGAAAATTTCACTGTAAATTTTTGTAAAAAGATCCCATTTCCTGTATTATAGTAGGTCAAGTAGATGGAACAAAACGTACAGACGTAGAAGAGCTGATGAGTACAAAGTTTATCACCCTAGTTCTTAATCTCCACTAGCCTCTACACTGAGAAAACTGTGTTTAAAATTTACGAAGATTAATATCATAGGATCATGAAAGCAGTGAAACAATCAAACCCACTGTAATATGCTTAGCTATTTATTACAATATTTAACAAAATTTTATCTTATTATCACCATAAATTTTGTATTATCGTTAGTACTTGGAGATAGACAAATCAAGAAACAAAAACTTTCAAAGTTTAGAAGTTAATACCTAAAAGAATATTTGTTGTTTTCTAGATTAAATCTTCTTAATATTATGCTGAATTTGTATTCTTAGACCAATGAGATGCACGTAGATTGATTAACTAAATTTATTTGAAAAATAGAGTTAGACCAGTCAAGAAATCGGACGACGAATTAGGAATCGATATAGTTTCCACGACTTCTATCGCCCACGATCCGTGGCAAATGAAGTCGTACCCGCGAACGGAGCATATAAAAGTGTTGAATACCACGATTAATAACCGGTAGTTTTTTCACGGGGCCCGGTTCCAGAGGCGACGACGACGACGAGTTGTCCGTCCACGGGACATACGACAATATTGGATCACGTTCCTATTATGTCTTAACAGCGCGTAATTTCGCGGCCGACAGATAAATAGTCCGTTGAAACGGCAACGATAAAGCTTAATCACTGTTATTGCACCGGTCGTGCTCGCTTGATATCTCATATGGCGAGCTCCACAAGCGGGCGCGCGCCATTCTTTTTGCCGTTCTCGCGTGTGGGGCGCGCGAGAGATCCAATATCCTGGCGTATGGAACGGTCATCTGGTTGCGATCCGTTTCCAAGGAAACGGAAAATAAAATCGTGCGTACCTCCGATTAAATGGTTTTCCCTGTACGATCCTGAGGCTTCGAGAACTAGCCTTTGCTCGGTCAGTCTCTCCCTCGATGGAAGAATGAAAAAAAAAAAAGACGCGACCTGCGGGAAACAGAGAGAGAATTATATCGCGTCCGATCAGGTTCTCCGCGCGGCGGCTTTATAATTTAATGCTCACCCCACCTTTTCGGAAAAATCCTCGTTGGTGTTAATGGCGCTTTATCGTCGCTCGTTTCAACGTTCAGTCAAACCCACGACGTGTCTACGAGGACATGGGAACGCGTTATCGCGGGAATAAATTCGTTATTAACCGTCCCGTCCAGGTCTGATAAAGTATAGAAGGTAAAATTCTTAGGGTTCCGCTGAAGCGGAGACGAGCTCGGATTTTCTTTTTAGATGCCGATCGCCTCGAATGTAATTACACGGGCATTTTTACAGAAGGGGTTACGCAAGTTTCTGGCTCTGCAAATTATTCTCCGGTTATCCGACTCGTTAGGGAACCCCGCGATTGTCGGATGCAGGACGATAACAACGTTCGTCGGCTCGCGTGCGACGGTCGATCGAGCCGGCGCGCAGGTACGTTACGCGGACTGTCGTTGAACGGGGCAATTACTGAACAGCGTAGGAACATTTAGTTATTGGTACTTTTGTGATTCGAACAATATTCGACACTTCGGTCTTCAAAGTGTACAAAATAAATCGGAACAATCTGATACGTCAGTGAATCTCTACCAATCGCGTGGACGATGTTATATACTCCGAGTTGAAAAGGCGCGCCAGCGACGCGGTATCGTACGCCGAGGAATATATTAATTACCGCCTCCGGTCGCAGCGAGCAATAAAACGAACGGGAGGGGATCGCGCGTTAAATCCATTTACGGGAAGTTATGGTTAATTAGTTTTCTGGGCTGAGTATGTAACGCACACGGAAGATATTTCCATTAACGGGGCAAGGATCGGTGCCACGCCGGTGGAAAAGGCGGAAGATTTTTTCCAAGACTCGAGTCCTCGCCGAGTGAAACGCAACGGAACCCGCCTGGATCTCGCGATAAATCCGCCGATCTTTGTGGCGAACGACGACGACGACAAACGGGGAAGTCGTCTCCCAGGTAAATGAAATTTCTTAACGAGGAGAACGGGCCCCGACGAGCCCGTTTTGATTACCGGAACCGGCCGTTAATGCATAGCGATTTTAATTGGGCTCGCGGTTGCAAAAATTTGCAACGCCGCGATCGGTTTCCAGGCATGGAAAACGCGTCTGTGTATCGGGCTTCTTGGTTGCCGGCGAACCGAGGCATTGTTGCGTGTTGAGAATCAGCCCGTGAAGTAATTTTCGTTGATGAAAAAGGTGTTACGAAATGTAACATTGCGAACAGAGTTGCCGATTTTTGCGGCGAACAAAACCGAATGTTTGACCGAGTGTTGCATTTTACAGTGTTCATTTTTTGTTTCTCGTCCCGAGAAATTATTCGCAACAAGATTTCTCTTTTACTCTGTTTGTTATAAGGTAACGCATAAAAACATGAATTTTGAATATGTATTTACATTCTGGATATTCTGGTAAAGATTAGTAAAGTTTCCGTTTCAGCTTGATCGACTTGAACACTTTAACCTCTTGTCTTACAACTGCGGAGATGGACTACTGGTGACGATTTCAATATGGAATTCAATAAACATGAATACTGATGTATCACACAGTTTAGTATTTTGCCAGTTGATGGATAGATTCTCGAAAATAATATTTAGGAATTGTTTA